TGGATTTTCTTTGTGGGTCTGGAGATCGTTTGTAGGTTGTGTACAGACCCCCCAACCTCTGAGGATGCCTGCCATAGATGCAGGCGAAACGTCAGGAGAGAATGCTTCTGGAACATGGCCAGGATCTAAAAACTTACAGCCGCCCAGTGATTCTGGCCAAGAAAGCCTTGACAATACAAAATGAGTTCTTTTCCCCATTTCCAGGTGCTTCCTTGCCTGAAAGTAAGGTCTGTTTGCTGTTGGCATGGGTCTGATATGGAAGGGTGGAAATAATGTCTTATCTGAACAATTTGACTGCGAGAGATTAGGGGCGCTTCCAGGCAGCACAAAAACTTAGTTTTTAAATGGGGGTTAAAAAATCCTGGGACCTGACTGCAGGTCCCCACACAGACCTGTCAGTCCCAGGATTGGGTCTTGCACTGTCCTCACTATTTATGTATTGTGTCAGAAGTAATTTAAGAACACAGTTAAAATGTATAGCAAATAAGTACTTGGCATGGTGCGGAATGTCCTTTGAGCAGAAGCTGGCCACTTGGAGTGCCTCTGGTGTGGCTGTGAGAAGGTCCTCCGTTGTGCATGTGGCAGGACTCAAATCGCATTGTACTAGGTGGTCTGTGGTTTGCTCTTCTTCACACTCGTATGTTGTGGACTCCACTTTGTGGCCCCATTTCTTCAGGTTGGCTCTGCACCTCATGGACCGAGCTCTGAGGATTACCTGGGAAGGAATCCCACTGGAGCATTGCAACACACCCAAATACCTGGGAGGAGTCACTTTGGACCGTGCTCTTACCTACAAGAAGCACTGCCTGAACATCAAACAAAAAGTGGGTGCTAGAAACAACATCATACGAAAGCTGACTGGCACATCCTGGGGATCACAGTGAAGACATCTGCCCTTGCGCTGTGCTACTCTGCTGCTGAGTCTGCATGCCCAGTGTGGAACACATCTCAGCACGCTAAAACAGTGGATGTGGCTCTTAATGAGACATGCCGCATTATCACGGGGTGTCTGCGCCCTACACCACTGGAGAAATTACACTGCTTAGCCGGTATTGCACCACCTGACATCCGCCGAAGTAGCAGCCAATAGTGAAAGGACCAAGGCAGAGACATCTCCAGCTCATCCCCTGTTTGGGTATCAGCCAGCACGTCAACGACTTAAATCACGAAATAGTTTTCTAAGATCTACAGAGACACTTGCTGGAACACCTCAGCAAGCGAGAGTCCAAAAGTGGCAGGTTCAAACCCAGAACCTCAACCAATGGCTAAGATGGAGAGGGGAGGAGGGAGGGCAGGATTAGATGAGGGGGGCTTACCGTCAGGGGGTGGGGAGAGGGCAGGAGGGGGGGGCAAGTCCCAAAAGTCGAGCCTCAAACCCAGAACCTCAATCAATGGCTGATACAAATGAGAGACTCCCCCTGGGCACACAGAAAACTGGGCGACTTGGAAGGCTCTGAACAGACTGCGCTCTGGCACCACGAGATGCAGAGCCAACCTTAAGAAATGGGGCTACAAAGTGGAATCCACGACATGCGAGTGTGGAGAAGAGCAAACCACTGACCACCTGCTGCAATGCACCCTGAGCCCTGCCACATGATGCACCATGGAGGACCTTCTTGCGGAAACACCAGAGGCACTCCAAGGGGCCAGAGACTGGTCAAAGGACATTTAACCAACTACCAAGTTTGCAAAATCTGTGTTTTTTTTTGTTTGTTTTTTTAATCTGTGTATTTGTTTTGTTCTGTTAGAATTGTAACACAATGGTATGGTTGCTGATGACACAATAAATAAATAACCTCGTGGTGCCAGAGCACAGCCTGTTCAGTGCCTTCCAAGTAATACCCAAGCGTTTGGCTAATCAGTGCAACTGAACAACTGAACACAGGAAGTCGGTAAAACTGAACATAGGAAATGGCACAAGGATTATGAGAATGGATCTTGTTCTGTTGAGGCATCATGAATTGATAAGGAATTGATAATAATTGTTGATTTTGTTGTAATATGTGATGTGTTTTTAACTGTATATTACTGTATAACTTGCACTGTGTAAACCGCATTGAGTCGCCTAATCTAGGTTGAAAAATGCGGTATAGAAGTAAAGCAAATAAATAAATAAATAAATAAATATTCTCTGTGCCCAGGAAGGAGGGAATCTCTCATTCGGTATCAGCCATGGATTGATGTGCTGGGTTTTAGCCTGCCACTTTTGGACTCTTGCTTGCTGAGGCATTCCTGCAAGTATCTTTGTGGATCTTAGGAAGCTATTTCTTGATTGAAGGCATTGGTGTGCTGTGTATTGTCGAAGGCTTTAATGGCCGGAATCACTGGGTTGTTGTAGGTTTTTTTTCGGGTTATATGGCCATGGTCTAGAGGCATTCTCTCCTGACGTTTTGCCTGCATCTATGGCAAGCATCCTCACTACCTCTGATGCAGGCAAAATGTCAGGAGAGAATGCCTCTAGACCATGGCCATACAGCCCGAAAAAACCTACAACAACCCATTGGTGTGATGGCTGGTATCTGAACAGAGAATGGGCTGGAGAATAAGAGAGATATTGACAAGCTGGAATGTGTCCAGAAGAGGACAACTAAAATGATCAAGGGTCTGGAGAACAAGCCCTATGTGGCTGGTCCAGTGGAGTTGATGGTGGAGGACCATCGCTTCAATGCTGGTGGTCTTTGCTTCTTCCAGCATGCTGATATTTGTCTGCCTTCCCAAGAGATTTGCAGGATTTTTCGGAGGCAGTGCTGATGGAATCATTCCAGGGGTTGCATGTGACATCTGTAGACAGTCCACGTTTCACAGGCATATAGCAGGGTTGGGAGGACAATAGCTTTATAGACAAGCACCTTGCTCTCCCTATGGATGTCCCGGTCCTCAAACACTCTCTGCTTCATTCGGAAAAATGTTGCACTCGCAGAGCTCAGGCGGTGTTGTATTTCAGTGTCAATGTTGACATCTGTAGACAGTCCACGTCTCGCAGGCGTATAGCAGGGTTGGGAGGACAATAGCTTTATAAACAAGCCCCTTGGTCTCCCTACGGATGTCCTGGTCCTCAAACACTCTCTGCTTCATTTGGAAGAATGAACCGCACTCGCAGAGCTCAGGCGGTGTTGAATTTCCGTGTCAATGTTGACTTTGGTGGAGAGGTGGCTACCAAGGGAGCGGAAATGGTCCACATTTTCTAACGTTACACCATTAAGCTGTATTTCTGGCATTGGAGAGAGATTGTCTGGTCTTATCTTACTAGCTTAATATAAACATAAGCAGATTGGCATGTGCGCATATGAGGTCCAGCGCATTACGGGAAAAAAAAAATTCCACTGGATATCCCTTTTTCCTCAATTCAAGCTCTGTTTAAGAATTATGAAGTCTAAAATAAAGAGTTTTGGAGAGTTCTAATTGCTCTCCATTCGTGCTTCCTTTAAATCAGCTGTGTGTCCGTTTCACAGCAGACAAGTGCTGGAGCAATTTCCACAGGGAGGAGGGAAAGAAAACAACGTCCAAACAGCACAGATTAAAAAAACTCAAAGCAAGTAATGCATCTGTGAAGAAATGTGTTCCTGCTTTCACCCTTATTTACTTACTTACTTAGGCGATCCCTCGTTGTCCGAGTAGGATAATCCTCCAGGGTGGGTCCGTAGGTGGCTGAGGAGCCCAATTCTTGACCTACATCTTCTCCTGCAGTGATGGCATTGGTTTCCAGGTGGAAGGTGGTCTCGGTCGGGGTTGGCTTGACGCGCCTTCCTCTTGGCACGTTTCTTTCTTTCGCTCTCCATTTGTGCCTCTTCAAATTCTGCAGCACTGCTAGTCACAGCTGACCTCCAGCTGGAGCGCTCGCAAGCCAACCTTAAAAACTCTGACATAGACACCGAGAACCCATATTTAAATGTAACACTGATTAGTTTATTATTATCATGAACTTGTTAAGGAGTAAATAACTTGTTACTATTGTCAAAGGCTTGTTACTGTATCGGAATGTATCCAAATGGCTTGTTATTGTTTTAAAAAACATAGAGTCATCGAATCATAGAATCATAGAATCAAAGAGTTGGAAGAGACCTCATGGGCCATCCAGTCCAACCCCATTCTGCCAAGAAGCAGGAACATTGCATTCAAATCACCCCTGACAGATGGCCATCCAGCCCCTGTTTCAAAGCTTCCAAAGAAGGAGCCTCCACCACGCTCCAGGGCAGAGAGTTCCACTGCTGAACGGCTCTCACAGTCAGGAAGTTCTTCCTCATGTTCAGATGGAATCTCCTCTCTTGTAGTTTGAAGCCATTGTTCCGCGTCCTAGTCTCCAGGGAAGCAGAAAACAAGCTTGCTCCCTCCTCCCTGTGGCTTCCTCTCACATATTTATACATGGCTATCATATCCCCACTCAGCCTTCTCTTCTTCAGGCTAAACATGCCCAGCTCCTTAAGCCGCTCCTCATAGGGCTTGTTCTCCAGACCCTTGATCTCCTCCCTCCTCCCTGTGGCTTCCTCTCACATATTTATACATGGCTATCATATCTCCTCTCAGCCTTCTCTTCTTCAGGCTAAACATGCCCAGCTCCTTAAGCCAGTCCTCATAGGGCTTGTGCAGAAAACAAGCTCTCTCCCTCCTCCCTGTGGCTTCCTCTCACATATTTATACATGGCTATCATATCTCCTCTCAGCCTTCTCTTCTTCAGGCTAAACATGCCCAGCTCCTTAAGGCGCTCCTCATAGGGCTTGTTCTCCAGACCCTTGATCATTTAGTCGCCCTCCTCTGGACACATTCCAGCTTGTCAATCTCTCTCTTCAATTGTGGTGCCCAGAATTGGACACAATGTTCCAGGTGTGGTCTAACCAAAACAGAATAGAGGGGTAGCATTACTTCCCTAGAATAATGGTATCAGAATGTATCAGAACTGATCAATGCAAAAAGAAACAATTCCAAACATGCTATTATTTGAAACAGTTTCACTTGTTGTTCCTTGGAGATGATCCTAAACACTCAATTTCTTTGTTTTTTAGGATATGACGATATTTCGGAGACAAACTTGATATCTCACAGCGTTCATTCTGCCAAGCACGTGCAAGAAAACCACCCCAGGCCCATCCGCAGGAAAAGAAGCGTTGGTAAGTACGGTAACTACAAGGTGGCAAGATCTCCATAGAAATGCAACCGGGCATGATGATGGTCAATGGAAGGGCTTTTGTGTAAGGAAAATGGACTTGCAAACCCAAAGAGGTTTGCAAGTTCATTATCTGCTTCTCTCTACAAGTCAGTCGTAATAATCTATGAGGGTGACATGCACCGAACATTCTTTGCATTCATATTTTTCATGTTGTAGCACGTTCGCAGAGCAGCGTGAGGAAAGGTTTGTCCTGTTGTCTTGATTCAATTCGAGCATTTTCAAGGACTGAATGGTCATATTTGTTCCACTCTAATAATTATAATAATAATAATAATAATAATAATAATAATAATAATAATTATTATTATTATTATTATTATTATTATTATTATTATTATTTATTTGTCGTGTCAGGGCAACCAGTCAATTGCATTACAATTCATAGAATCATAGAATCAAAGAGTTGGAAGAGACCTCGTGGGCCATCCAGTCCAACCCCATTCTGCCAAGAAGCAGGAATGTTGCATTCAAATCAACCCCGACAGATGGCCATCCAGCCTCTGTTTCAAAGCTTCCAAAGAAGGAGTCTCCATCACACTCCGAGGCAGAGAGTTCCACTGCTAAGACAAACAATTCTAAGAGAACAAAACAAACAAACAGACAAAATACAAAATTTGCAAACTTGGTAGCTGATTAAATGTCCTTTGCCCAGTATCTGGCCCCTTGGAGTGCCTCTGGTGTTGCCGCAAGAAGGTCCTCCCTTGTGCATCATGTGGCAGGGCTCAGGTTGCATTGCAGCAGGTGGTCAGTGGTTTGCTCCTCTCCGCACTCGCATGTCGTGGATTCCACTTTGTGGACCCATTTATTGAGGTTGGCTCTGCATCCCATGGTGCCAGAGCGCAGTCTGTTCAGCGCCTTCCAAGTCGCCCTGTCTTCTTCTGTGTGCCCAGGGGGGAGTCTCTCATTTGGGATCAGCCATTGATGGAGGTTCTGGGTTTGAGCCTGCCACTTTTGGACTCTCATTTGCTGGGGTGTTCCGACGAGTGTCTCTGTAGATCTTAGAAAACTATTTCTTGATTTAAGTCGTTGACGTGCTGGCTGATACCCAAACAGGGGATGAGCTGGAGATGTCTCTGCCTTGGTCCTTTCACTATTGGCTGCCACTGCCCGGCGGATGTCAGGTGGTGCAATGCCGGCTAAGCAGTGTAATTTCTCCAGTGGTGTAGGGCGCAGGCACCCCGTGATAATGCGGCATGTCCCATTCAGAGCCACATCCACTGTTTTAGTGTGGTGAGATGTGTTCCACACTGGGCATGCATACTTAGCAGCAGAGTAGCACAGCGCAAGGGCAGATGTCTTCACTGTGTCTGGTTGTGATCCCCAGGTTGTGCCAGTCAGTTTTTGTATGATATTTTTTCTAGCACCTGCTTTTTGCTTGATATTTAGGCAGTGCTTCTTGTCGGTCAGAGCACGGTCCAGAGTGACTCCTCCCAGGTATTTGGGTGTGCTGCAATGCTCCAGTGGGATTCCTTCCCAAGTAATAATCCTCAGAGCTCAGGATGCTTGTCTGTTCTTGAGATGAAAAGCACATGTCTGTGTTTTAGATGGATTAGGGATCAGCTGGTTTTCCCTGTAATAGGCAGTAAGGGCACCTAGAGCTTCGGAGAGCTTCTGTTCTACCATCTCAAAGCTCCCTGCTTGAGCGGTAATGGCATGATCATCAGCGTAGATGAAACTCTCTGTCCCTTCTGGCAGTGGCTGGTGTTTTGTGTAGATGTTGAACATGAATAGAGCAAGCACGCTCCCCTGAAGTAGGCCATTCTTTTGTTTCAGAAGAACAGAAACAGAAGAAACATAATAATAATAACTCGGAGCAGCGTACATGAGACCAAGCCCGACAACACATCAATAAAACAAAAAACAATAAGCAAAAACAATACAATTAATATAACTCACATATAAACAGTAACACACAAGCCTTGAGACACCTTTTCAGTAGTCCTAACTGCAGCAGTGTATTAAGAAAAGCAGGGAGACACCAAGTAAACACCACTTAATTTAAGCCCAAGCCTGACCAAGAGGCCATGAGATCATGACGAACACACCTGGGCTTCAAGGACTTCTCGCAGATTCTCTTTGAATGTATAACAACAACAACAACAACAACAACAACAACAACAACAACAACTTTATTTATACCCTGCTCCATCTCCCCAGGGGAACTCGGTGCAGCTTACATGAGGCCACACCTATCAATACAGTACACACAATACAACATAAAAGCACAACACAACCAGAAAACAAAATACATACAATTCAAAACCAATATAATAAGTCCAATGGAGTCTCTAAGCATACTGTTCCTACATTGAAGTCCCTAAGCATTCTGTTCTTGCTGATGTCTGAAAGCAAAACATTTCTAAAATAATAATAATAATAATAATAATAATAATAATAATAATAATATGGAGTCTGAGTCCTGAAAAATCCCAGTTCTGATCATTTCTTAGAATCAGTAGTCCAAAGTCTTGGGCATCGAATAGTTGCCTCTGTAAACCACCCTGAGTTGCCTGAGGGCTGAGAAGGGCGGTATACAAATATAGTAAATAAAGCATCTCTCTGTTCTGAGAGTCTTATGGAATCTCTGTCTAGTTTGAAAGTCCAATGGAGTCTCTAAGCATACTGTTCCTACATTGAAGTCTCTAAGCATTCTGTTCTTGCTGGCATCTGAAAGCAAAACAGTTCTAAAATAATAATAATAATAATAATAATAATAATAATAATAATAATAATAATCACAATAATAATAATAATATGGAGTCTGAGTCCTGAAAAATCCCAGTTCTGATCATTTCTTAGAATCAGTAGCCCAAAGTCTTGGGCATTGAATAGTTGCCTCTGTAAACCGCCCTGAGTTGCCTGAGGGCTGAGAAGGGCGGTATACAAATATAGTAAATAGTAAATAAAGCATCTCTGTGTTCTGAGAGTCTTATAGAGTCTCTGTCTAGTTTGAAAGTCCAATGGAGTCTCTAAGCATACCGTTCCTACATTGAAGTCTCTAAGCATTCTGTTCTTGCTGGCGTCTGAAAGCAAAACAGTTCTAAAATAATAATAATAATAATAATAATAATAATAATAATAATAATAATAATATGGAGTCTGAGTCCTGAAAAATCCCAGTTCTGATCATTTCTTAGAATCAGTAGTCCAACGTCTTGGGCATCGAATAGTTGCCTCTGTAAACCGCCCTGAGTTTCCTGAGGGCTGAGAAGGGCGGTATACAAATATAGTAAATAGTAAATAAAGCATCTCTCTGTTCTGAGAGTCTTATAGAGTCTCCATCTAGTTTGAAAGTCCAATGGAGTCTCTAAGTATACTGTTCCTACATTGAAGTCTCTAAGCATTCTGTTCTTGCTGGCGTCTGAAAGCAAAACAGTTCTAAAATAGTAGTAGTAGTAGTAGTAGTAGTAGTAGTAGTAGTAGTAGTAATAATAATAATGGAGTCTGAGTCCTGAAAAATCCCAGTTCTGATCATTTCTTAGAATCAGTAGTCCAAAGTTTTGGGCATCGAATAGTTGCCTCTGTAAACCGCCCTGAGTTGCATGAGGGCTGAGAAGGGCGGTATACAAATATAGTAAATAGTAAATAAAGCATCTCTCTGTTCTGAGAGTCTTATAGAGTCTCTGTCTAGTTTGAAAGTCCAGTGGAGTCTCTAAGCATACTGTTCCTACATTGAAGTCTCTAAGCATTCTGTTCTTGCTGGCATCTGAAAGCAAAACAATTCTAAAATAATAATAATAATAATAATAATAATAATAATAATCATAATCATAATAATAATAATAATATGGAGTCTGAGTCCTGAAAAATCCCAGTTCTGATCATTTCTTGGGCATCGAATACTTGCTCCTGTAAACCGCCCTGAGTTGCCTGAGGGCTGAGAAGGGTGGTATACAAATATAGTAAATAGCAAATAAAGCATCTCTCTGTTCTGAGAGTCTTATAGAGTCTCCATCTAGTTTGGAAGTCCAGTGGTGTCTCTAAGCATACTGTTCCTACACTGAAGTCTCTAAGCATTCTGTTCTTGCTGGCGTCTCAAAGCAAAACAGTTCTAAAATAATAATAATAATTAAAAAATGGAGTCTGAGTCCTGAAAAATCCCAGTTCTGATCATTTCTTAGAATCAGTAGTCCAAAGTCTTGGGCATCGAATAGTTGCCTCTGTAAACCACCATGAGTTGCCTGAGGGCTGAGAAGGGCGGTATACAAATATAGTAAACAGTAAATAAAGCATCTCTGTGTTCTGAGAGTCTTATAGAGTCTCCGTCTAGTTTGAAAGTCCAATGGAGTCTCTAAGCATACTGTTCCTACATTGAAGTCTCTAAGCATACTGTTTCACATTGAAGTCTCTAAGCATACTGTTCCTACATTGAAGTCTCTAAGCATTCTGTTCTTATTTATTTATTTATTATTTATTTATTTATTTATTTACTCTATTTGTATACCGCATATATCAGCCTGAGGCGGCGACTCAATGCGGTTTACAATAAAAAACAACACTAAACAATGTATGAGACACACAATACAGACAAACACATAATCATCAACGCCACACTTAGAATCAGGGATATTTATTTATTTATTTACTGCATTTATTGACCGCCGCTCTCAGCCCTAGGGCGACTCGCGGCGGTGCACAACATATAAAAACAGTTTACAAAAGGGCAAAACAGGAAATCAATACAACAATAATACACTATAATCTAGTTACACTAAATAATCCGCTCCGTCACATCATAGAATCATAACCAATATCGTAATCCGTATTCCGTTCCAGTTGTCAATTACCAGTTGCCGTAGCGCTCAGTTGAATGCCTTCTCAAATAGCCAGGTCTTCAGGCTCTTACGGAAGGACAGAAGGGAAGGCGCCTGTCTGATGTCAGCAGGGAGGTCGTTCCACAGCCGGGGGGCCACCACCGAGAAGGCCCTTTCTCTCGTCCCCGCCAGACGTGCCTGTGAAGCAGGCGGGATCGAGAGAAGGGCCTCCCCAGACGATCTCAAGGTCCTCGTGGGCTCATAGGCCAAGATGCGGTCCGAAAGGTATTTTGGGCCGGAACCGTTTAGGGCTTTGTAGGATAACACCAGCACCTTAAATTGGGCCCGGTAGCAAATCGGCAGCCAGTGGAGCTGGAACAGCAAGGGCGTTGTATGCTCCCTGCGTCCCGCTCCTGTTAGTAACATGGCTGCCGCGCGCTGAACTAGCTGAAGTTTCCGGGCCGTCTTTAAGGGCAGCCCCACGTAGAGAGCGTTGCAGTAGTCAAGGCGGGATGTTTTGCTGGCGTCTGAAAGCAAAACAGTTCTAAAATGGAGTCTGAGTCCTGAACAATCCCAGTTCTGATCACATGGTCTGCAGCCCCTCCCACAACATAGAGTTAAAGAAAAACTGCAAACCAATATACACATATGCAATACAGAAAACAATTATATACATAACAAATAACTAGTGGAGGTTTGGGAAGGTTACTATTTCCAACATGAATTGCATTGAACTGAATTATATGAGTCTACATTGCCATGTAATCCGGCTCAATACAATTATGTGGCAGCGTAGATGGTCCCTATTTGTGAGCTGTTTCCAAAGGAAAAAAAGATGTTGCTAATCCATCTCTCTCTCATTCCCGTTCCAGAGGAAGCGATTCCTGCGGTCTGCAAAACACGAACAGTTATCTATGAGATCCCGCGGAGTCAGATCGACCCGACGTCTGCGAACTTTCTGATCTGGCCGCCGTGCGTGGAGGTGAAGCGCTGCACGGGCTGCTGCAACACCAGCAGTGTGAAATGCCAGCCCTCGAGGATACACCACAGAAACGTTAAGGTGAGAAGGGCTTGGAGGGCACAGGGAAGTTGTAGCACCACTCTCTCCTGGTTTGGTCACATCTTCCAAAGCTGGAAATGAAAGGGGAAGCCTTTGCCTTTGCCTGTGTATTTGTGCTTCCTTGTGTTTCAAAGGCATTGAATGTTTACCAGTATCTGTTTACACTGTGATCCACTCTGAGTTGGAGAAGGGCAGAATATAAATAAATACATAAATCTATATAAATAAAAATGTAATGTTCGTTTGTGGGATTAACATAACTCAAAAGCCACTGGATGAATTGACACCAAATTTGGACACTATACCCCTAACAGACCAACAAGTGTCCATAACCCCTAAACACACACACACACACACAAAACCTCAGCAGAACAGACTTAACCCCCCACCCAAAACACCATATAAACATATACACATCCACTCGTATACACATGCACACATTTATACACACACACACACATGCACAAACACACACAAATATACACATATACACACTCATACATGTACATACACACATATACACATGCACACACATATACACATGCATACACACACATATAGGAGCCCCCGGTGGCGCAGTGGGTTAAAGCACTGAGCTGCTGAGCTTGTTGATCGAAAGGTCGCAGGTTCGATTCCGGAGAGCGGCGTGAGCTTCCGCTGTCAGCCCTAGCTTCTGCCAACCTAGCAGTTCGAAAACATGCAAATGTGAGTAGATCAATAGGTACCGCTCCGGTGGGAAGGTAACGGCGCTCCATGCAGTCATGCTGGCCACATGACCTTGGAGGTGTCTACGGACAACGCTGGCTCTTCGGCTTAGAAATGGAGATGAGCACCACACCCCAGAGTCAGACATGACTGGACTTAATGTCAGGGGACTACCTTTACCTTTTTACACACATATATACACACAAATATGCATATAGACAAGCACACACATATACACAATATGCATGTGCACATATAAACACACAAATACACAAATATATACACACACATATATACAAACACACATATATACACCCACATATATCTATATATGCAAACACAAATGTACACACATACATAAAAAAATATATGCACACCCAAAACACATGTACACAGACTGAACCACAGTAATGTGTGGCAGGGGACGGCTAGTAATAATAATAATAATCATCATCATCATCATCACCATCATCATCATCTTGTTCTTGTTGTTCTTCTTCTCTGTAATATTGTGTCCAGATCTGGGCATGAAAATTCAAGGAGATTAATAACAACAACAGCAGCAACAACAACAACAACATAACAGCAAAAAAAGCCAATGGGATTTTGGCCTGCATCAAGAGGAGCCTAGGGTCCAGATCCAGGGAAGTCATGCTCCCCATGTTCTATTCAACTTGGGTTAGACCACACCTGGAATATTGTGTCCAATTCTGGGCACCACAATTGAAGGGAGATGTTGACTCTAAGTTGGAATGTGTCCAGAGGAAGGCGACTAAAATGATCAAGGGTCTGGAGAACAAGCCCTATGAGGAGCAGCTTAAAGAGCTGGGCATGTTTAGCCTGAAGAAGAGAAGGATGAGAGGAGATATGATAGCCATGCATAAATATATGAGGGGAAGTCATAGGGAGGGGGGAGCAAGCTTGTTTTCTGCTTTCTCGGAGACTAGGACGAAATGGAGCAATGGCTTCAAACAACAAGAGAGGAGATTTCATCTGAACACGAGGAAGAACTTCCTGACTGTGAGAGCCGTTCAGCAGTGGAACTCTCTGCCCCGGAGTGTGGTGGAGGCTCCTTCTTTGGAAGCTTTTAAACAGGGGCTGGATGGCCATCTGTCAGGGGAGATTTGAATGCAATATTCCTGCTTCTTGGCAGAATGGGGTTGGAATGGATGGCCCAGGAGGTCTCTTCCAACTCTAGGATTCTAGGTTGCGTGTTGAAGGCGAGGATGCTGTTCTGACATTTCAGATATTATTCATCTTCAGGCCTCAATCGTGTTTTCAAATATTCTCCTCTTTTTATTTTTTCCTCACACCAATATGCTTGGCAAACATTTATTTTGAGAGCAAGGGAGGATTGAGGGCGATCTAATTAACCTTCTAGCTGAAGAGCAAACGGAAAGTTTTTGCAAGCGCAAGCAGCATCGATGCAGCAGAAGCTTGTTCAATCTTGGAGTCCTTCTGCTTTTGGTTGAGTTACCGGGCTTTCGAAGGGAACTCAGGGTTGGCCTTTCATCAGGTCTCTTGGGGGATACACAGCTATGCCTTGAGTTAAGAGTTTAATTTGTTCTGTGGCTGCACTCTTAACTCAAATTGCTCTGATCTCAAAGCAAATTTCCCATTGGAATGCTGGACCAGATTGAGACTGCATGATTTTTGGGTTGTTGTAGAGTTTTTTTTGGGCTATATGGCCATGTTCTAGAGGCATTCTCTCCTGACGTTTCGCCTTCATCTATGGCAAGCGTCCTCAGAGGTAGTGAGGTCTGTTGGAACTAGGAAAAAGGGTGTATGTATCTGTGGAAAGACCAGGGTGGGACAAAGAACTCTTGTCTGCTGGAACTAGGTGTGAATGTTTCAACTGACCACCTTGATTAGCATTTGATGGTCTGGCAGTGCCTGGAGCAATCTTTTGTTGAGAGGTGATTAGATGTCCTTGTTTGTTTCCTCTCTGTTGTTTTGCTGTTGTAATTTTAGAGTTTTTAATACTGGTAACCAGATTTTGTTCATTTTCATGGTTTCCTCCTTTCTGTTGAAAATGTCCACATGCTTGTGTATTTCAATGGCTTCTCTGTGTAGTCTGACATGGTGGTTGTTAGAGTGGTCCAGCATTTCTGTGTTCTCAGATAATATCCTGTGTCCAACAACAGAGGGAAAACAATGGCTTGTAGGTCTTCTGAATGCGCACAGACGACGTTGTCATCAACATACTGGAGTTCTATAACAGATGCTGTTGTGACCTTGGTTTTGGCTTCCCATCAACAAGGTGAAGTATCATAGCGATGAAGATGGAGAATAAGGTTGGGGCAATAACACATCCCTGTTTGACACCTAATTCCACCTTAAATGGGTCACTTTGGGAGCCATTGCTGTCCAAGACTGTTGCCATCATGTCATCATGGAGGAGCCGCAGGATGTTCACAAATTTGTTTGGGCACCCGATTTTTTGGAGGATGGTCCAGAGAGCGCTGCGATTCACTGTGTCGAATGCCTTTGCAAGGTCGATGAATGCCATGTACAGAGGTTGATTTTGTTCCCTGCATTTTTCTTGGAGCTGTCGTGCAGTGAAGATCATGTCCACGGTTCCTCTGGAGGGGCGGAAGCCGTTCTGGGATTCTGGGAGGGTGTCTTCTGAGAGGGGCAGAAGGCGGTTTGCAAGGATTTTTGCGAGGATTTTCCCAGCGGAGGTTAGAAGGGAGATACCTCGATAGTTTCCGCAGTCTGTTCTTTCCCCTTTTTTGAAGAGGGTGATGATGGTGGCATCCTTGAAATCTGCTGGGATTTTCTCGGTCACCCACACTTTTTCTATGAGCTGGTGGAGTTGTTGTGTCAGCTCAGGTCCTCCCTCTTTAAAGATTTCAGCAGGGATCCCATCAGGTCCGCTGGCTTTGTTATTATTTTTTTGTCGGCTGATGGCATTGCTGATTTCTTCCAAACTAGGCAGTGCTGCAAGCTCATCCCTGGTTTGTTGTTGCGGGATTTGTGAGAGGACCTCTTCGGCCACATTGGAGCTGCGGTTCAGGAGGCTTTGGTCGTGTTCTTTCCAATTGATTTTTTGGTCCTTCATGAGTTTGGTTCCATCTGATGAGCGTAGATGCTGTATGCCATGGTTTCTTGGTAGATGACCTTTGTGGCTTTGAAACATCCCTGAGCATCATGGGTATCTGCCAGGGGTTGGATTTCTTCAGCCTTCTTTGTCCACCAGATGTTCTTGAGTTCTCTTGTCCTTCTTTGGACCTCAGCTTTTCCGCTGGCATAGATCTTTTTCTTAGCAGCACAGTTGATGTCTCTCTGCCAAGTTTGGAAGGCTTTCCTTTTCTTGTCAATTAGCTGTTGGATCTCATTGTCATTTTTGTCAAACCAATCTTGGTTTGATATCCAATAGTTTCTTTGCAGGCTGTGATGATGGAGCACTGTGGACTCAAAAAATGATGAATCTGGACCAAACTTGGCACGGATGCACAATATGCGCAAATGTAAACACTGGTGGAGTTTGGGGAAAATAGACCTTGAGATTTGGGAGTTGTACTTGCTGGGATGTATTGTTCACCTACAATCAAAGAGCATGCTGAACTCCACCAATGATAGAATCAGGCCAAACTTCCAACATGGAACCCCCATGACCAACAAAACATATTGTGTTTTCTGATGGTCTTTGAATGACCCCCTTGTGACCCCACCCCCCAGGGTCCCAACCCCCAGGTTGAGAAATACTGAACTATATGCTATTAAGGATGGGGAACTTCCTTTCCAAGTTGGTAAAGAGCAATGAGCGAGGTCAACCAGACGGTCCTAAATGGACTCCAAGGCACCCTTTGGGTTCACACAAGTGGAGTTACCATTCTTGGGATGCCAGTCGACGCAAAATAGGAGGAAACATGTTGTCAGTTGATGTTAAGACTCTTGTATTTACAGCAAGCAACATCCGATTGCTGTGATCTATATCAACCCACATTTTACAAAAACTGTTGTGCTCCAGAGGTCTTGAGAAAATCCTCCCCGTTCTCAAAGTTAATTAAAACAGGACCAAAGTAATCTTTGTAGAGAAAGGCTGCCTGGCCTCACGGTCACTTCCAGTCATTTCAAAACCGAAAATCCATATTTGTTTCCAGTCAGTCCTTTGATATAGTTAGTGAATTGTTTCACAAGCTCGTTGGCATTCCCATCTTTGGAGATGAATGCCCCATAGTGTGTCCCATAATCCAGAAGATCCTCTTTTGGGGTCAGGCAGGAGGTGCTGAGGGTTGGAGGACGGGATCTGCTCGGCTTCTTCCCACCAGAGAGCTGAGAGCGCCTCTTGT